AATACAATTCGTAAATTCAAAAACCGATTCATAAATACAAATACAATTCATAAATTCAAAACTCAATTCAAAAATACACAAATACAATTCGTAAATTCAAAACACGATTCATAAATACACAAATACAATTCATAAATTCAAAACACAATTCAAAAACACACAAATACAATTCATAAAATCAAAACACGATTTATAAATACACAAATACAATTCATAAAATCAAAACAAGATTTATAAATACACAAATACAATTCATAAATTCAAAACATGATTCAAAAATACACAAATACTATTCGCAAATTTAAAACACGATTCATAAATACACAAATACAATTCGTAAATTCAAAACATGATTCAAAAATACACAAATACAATTCGTAAATTCAAAACATGATTCAAAAATACACATACAATTCGTAAATTCAAAACACGACTTATAAATACACAAAAACAATTAATAAATTTAAAACACGATTCAAAAATACACAAATACAATTCATAAATTCAAAACACGACTCATAAATGCACAAATACAATTTATATATTTAAAATACAATTCAAAAACATGAACCTATTTCGTAAATTCGAAACACAATTAAAAAATACACAAATCAAATTTGTAAATTCACAACATGATTCAAAAATACACAAATACAATTTGTAAATTCAAAACACGATTCGTAAATACACAAATACAACTCATAAATTCAAAACACGATTTATAAATACACAAATACAATTCGTAAATTCAAAACACTATTCATAAATACACAAGCACAATTCACTAATTCAAAACACTATTCATAAATATACAAGTACAATTCGCTAATTCAAAACACGATTAATAAATACACAAATACAATTCGTAAATTCGAAACACAATTTATAAATACACAAATACAATTCGCTAATTCAAAACATGATTCATAAATACACAAATACAATTTGTAAATTCACAACATTATTCAAAAATACACATACAATTCATAAATTCAAAACATGATTCAAAAATACACAAATCTAATTCATTTGGCAAAAATATTCTTGATTTTTACTTATTAATTTGCAAATTGTGTTGTTTTTATGAACAGTGTTTTAAATTTACAAATCGTAAATCGTGCGGTTTATGTATAACTTTTTATTTTGCAAATGTATTATTTTTGAGACTGATCTGACTCCCTACTAGATACCCTGAATGAAGAATGTACACATTTATTTAGAACATTTTTTTGTGCATTTAACGAGTTTAGTCTATACAAGTTTTACTGTGATTGATAAACAGTTAATTAATAGATCAAATAATGTTAATCAAATCTGAATATTTAAGTTTGTTTTTGAAATGTTCAACACCGCTGCAAATCAGCAATATAGTTAAAACAATAATACTGGGAAATGCTATTGCGGTTAATTGTTTTTATAGCATGTAGCACAATAACTGACCACACATATTTTAGTAGTGTCAGTCCATTTTATTTTTCCACAGTGTATTTTACCACATTTAAGCAAATTCCTCATAAAATAAACGATACTTGGTAATGTAACATTTATACATCCTAATGTTTTAATAAAAGTCACTCACTAAAACCACAGAATAACCCTGAGGCACTATAATGTTGATACAATAGAGGGTTAAACTTAAACTAGGCTCTTTAATTCATAATCTCTTTAGCATTTTAGAAGTAATTACATGCAGGATAATCATTGTAAGTGTGGAAGATTGATGGCATAATCACAGAAGACATAATCATCCAGTCTCACTGCTTCCTGTAAGCAACTGTTAGACTGTCCTAATAACCGATATGCTTCTTTCTTAATGCTTCTACATATTCTTCAGTCCTGTCACAACACTAAATAGCAGGCCTCCTAGCATCCATGTCGTCCTATAGTCTATGGCTTGGCTTAACCATCTGGGGGGGAAAACATCCTGAAACTGCAAATAGAGTCCACATGCGGAGCAGCTGCTCTTCTTCCTGCCAGATCCAAATAAACCACTTCATCCTGATCAGCAGTGTGAGAAGGAGATCCTCCAACAAGAAGTCCTTCAGAAATCAAATCGGAAGGGATCTTTTCATGCATTGCTACAATATGGCCTATTTTAAATATAAGGCTTTGTTTTTGGTCAGTATTATGATGCGTTTGTTTGTAGATCTGATTACATGTGGACAAAGGAGATGCATTACTGTTCACAGCCAGTGTTTATATATATTTTTGTCAACTTTTTATCCCTTTCAGATAAGGGAGATTTGATCAATAAAACAATAAATGCTTTAATTAGCCTAAAATTGTAATTTTGGTATCAATTACTCACCCTCATGTCCTTCCAATCCCTTGCATTTCCCTATGGTGGTCCAGTCAATATTTTTGCAAAAATAACTATTTTATTCTACAATTTCTTCTCTTCAGTGTCAGTATAGGGTGCATGTTCACAATAGCGGTGTCATTTCACTCAGTGGCCATCTTTGAAATGCCTCCCGTTCAGTATGTTCAGGCATTCTGTTTGAATGGGGAAACATCAATTTTTCAACAACTATTTGCCAAGCTTACAATTGCATTACATTGTATTTGCGATCACTAATAAAATGTACATAACAGCTGTCTCTAAGTTTCGTTTCTGAACATTCGAATCAAACAAAATCATTTTTTTTTTCAGGTTGCCCAAGCTAATGTGCATGTGCACTTAAAGTGAACGAGATCACAACACCAACTCTCTTTATGGCAGTGTTGCACATTATCATCCTCTTAATAATGCCTCGTCCATTCGAGCTGGTCTTTTAAAGTAATTCACAACTTGGTGTTGATACCAAATCTCCTCCCAAAATGACAGTGCTTTATCAGTGGGCGTTTGAGTAGTTGATTAAGTTCCTTTCGTACAGATTACAAAAATAACTATTCACTTTTTTTAGCTAATTCAATTAAACTTATGCAACAGTTTTTTTTATATTATTTTTCAATTTTGAGAGGGTTTTGTGGTAAAATGTAATATTTATGCAGTAATTAAGATACAATTTTCCCAATAAAACAAAGGGATTTTTGTCATTTTTATTTTTAATTGTTTACATTATTGCAGAATTTCCAGATAAAATAGAGACTGCCATTCAAAAACAAAAACAAAGGGTAGAGTAGCACCATCTGGTTGTAAAAAACAAAAACAAGTTTGACTGTAGCTTGAGTTAATTTCACACAGATTACAAAAACAAGATCTTTTATTTTATTTTATGTGTAGTTGGTTTTATTTAAAAGTAGTTGTTTCAAGCTTTAACAGATATTTGTATGCCCTACACTGAGAAGAAACTGTACATAATTGTTTGTGTGCGCATTTTGTGTTTGTGTGTGTGTGTATTATGTAGCTTTATAATATACTGATCAAATCACTGAAGACCTATGGTCTGTTTGGAGGATTTTTTTTGCCAACTATGGAGGATGAGGGAGCTCAGTTTTTTTTCAAAAAATATCTTAATATTCTTCGAAGACCAATGAAAGTCTCTGGTGTTTGGAATAACATGGTTAATTACATAATTTTCATTTTTGGGTGAACCAAACCTTTAATGATTTTATAAATTAAATTACTAGCAGTTTACAAAATAAAAACACAAATTACACACATTTTTCAGAGCTGCTCTCTGTGGAGAATGTAGGTACATTTTTAGTCAGAAGTTAACTTTTTTTGGTAAAAGAAAATATTAAATGCATAAATAATTTTTAGGCATAATTTAAATATTTGGCATGCTTCTACATGAAGATCTAGGTCAATATGTCAATGCACTGCTCACTAGGCTATGAGTGCCAGCAGTATAAGTTAAAAAGCATGCTTCACCAACATCTCTTCAAATCATTAAAAATGAGGTCAGTTGGTGGAGACTAGCACTTTTCTGCCTGTTTGATCACAGTTAGCCACATCTGTGTTTACGCTGTGAAAGCAATCCAGTGATGTGTTTTGACAACCTTTTGAAGTGGTCAAACATAGACAATGTCAAAACAATTTAAATTCCGTTTACACCTGTCCAATTATGACTGGATCAACAAAACACATTTTAAAACCAGGTGTAAGCAGAGCTCAAGATGCATCCCAATAAACACTTGAACTCCAATTCTGCAATTCTAGTTTTGAGCTGTGAAAGTCCTGGCATGACTTTACAGTTGCAGTTTGAAAAATTCTTTCTTAGAAAGGAGGATGCATCACTGTGAACACACTCTCTCTCTATGTGTGTGTGTGTGTGTGTGTGGCTCAAAGCGTCTCTGTGTTTTTGAGGAGGCTTGTAAAAGTGGTAAATTCCAGGGGGCAGCTGGTGCCGGCTGTTAGCATTCCAGTTGCCTGTGAAGAAGCGAGGCTGAAGAGACGGCCAAACTCTCTCTCCATTCTCAGCCCAGGCACGTCTCTCTAAATACACTGGCAGCGGCCTGTATTCCCACTCATCCAGCACTGCAGCTGCTTGCAAAGGAAGTAGTAATTATGCATTATCAGAGTCCAATTCTTAGGTGTGCCACTAGCCATGACTCTGCATTCGAGTGGCCAGGAATGTTCACTCCCGAAGTCGAGAGTCTTGTTATGTGGTGGCATCAGGTGGGGCAACATGTGGAAGCACAACAGTGCAGCTGCTACAACCTTCGCCTACAAGAATGTCAAGTAAAAACTGGTTTCATCAGGCCGTGTGGTTTGTTCCCCACCCTGCTGAAGCGCAGAGATCTTCCCACTAAAAATAATATAGTGGCTGGAAGGTCAGGAGGGCAGGCAGGAAGCATGTTCATTAAAATGTCATTCAGCCCTTGTTTTCATTTTACATATGAGTTCATTATTAATTGCTTTTGATGTGGTGGAAAGATTTAGATGGAGTGTCTGTTTTTCTAATCGCCTAGTTTGAAAGCGATGAAAGCTGCCCAACACAAACTCAGCTCTAGCCAGTGAACTTCAGGTTGCTGTTTCACAGAAAACATCGAACTGACAGCGAGCTGTAAGAAAACGCTGCTTTGGGTCACCTTAGATCTTTTGTCTTCTCTTCCAGGCTTTGGAGGAGGCCCAGAAAGCCATTCAGCAACTCTTTGGCAAAATCAAAGACATCAAAGACAAAGCAGAGAAATCGGAGCAAATGGTGAGTAAAAATAAGCCCTCCAGACAGGAACCTAGTCATTTAAGGCCTGAAAGTAGACCCAGAGTAAATAGCCACTCACCACCCACCCACCCTAATAGACTGGGTAACCGAGGAGCAAGAAACTGTGACATCCTGTGGTTTTCGTCCACAGTACTCACTCTGAGCCCAAAGTAATGCACTGGCCATCTGTGAATGTAATGCAATGCAGATCAGAGGAAGGGCAAGGGGTGGAAGGCAGGAGAACAATAGCAAAGCTCTGTCTATGTGTCCCCAATATGGTGAAGCAATAGACAGAAGTCACGCGTGCAATATTGTTACCATACAAACTCTGGAAAAAAAAGAAAGAAAGAAAATTGTCACTGGGCAGCAAATTCTCAAAAGATATCATTATGTTGCCTCTAATATGTAATTTGTAAAAAATTTAATAAAAAAATAAATAAATAAATCGTCTCACATCGTATTTTGTATCACATCTTATATCGTATCAAGTCGTATATCTTTTACATCATATATCACATCGTATCGTATATTGTATCACATCATATTTTGTATCATATCGTATATCTTTTACATCATATATATCACATCACATCTTATATCATATCACATCTTATATTGTATCACATCTTATATTGTTACACATCTTAAATCGTATCACGTTGTATATCTATTACATATATTGTATCAAACCTTATGTCGTATCGCATCTTATATTGTATCACATCTTATATCGTATCACATCGCATATCTATTACATTATATATATATATCATATCACATCTTATATTGTATCACATCGTATATCGTATATCGCCATAGGTTATCTAAATAAATTTTACAAAGATATATATAAATTTAAACTAAATAGATTGCTGCGTGTTTTGCGATATGCTGTAATAAATTTGAACATGCATTGTTTTTCTTTTACCACGCATATGTAGATATTACATGAAAGATTAGGTCATGAAAATTTACTTGAAAGTCTTGGAAAAATCATGGAAAAGTCATGGAATTTCAGTAGTAAATATGTGTATAAACACTATATCCTATCACAATGTATATCGTATCACATCGTATATCGAATCACATCGTATATCGAATCACATTGGATATCAAATCACATCGTATATCGCATCACATCGTATATCGTATCACATCGTATCACATCGTATATCGTATCACATCGTATATCGTATCGCACCGTATATCTGTCACAACGTATATTTATCACACCGTATAGCGTATTACATTGTATATCATATCACATCATATATCGTATCACACTGTATATCTGTCACAACGTATATCTATCACACCGTATATCGTATATCGTATCACATCGTATCACATCACATATTGTATTACATCATATATGTCACATCATATACTGTATCATGTCACATCATATCGCATCATATAACTTTTATTTTTGTTTAAAATAAGAATATTAGTTTAAAAAATAAATATAGACTTCTTTCAGTTACATACTGTATAATATAGTAGTAAATCTATTTATATAATAAAAGTGTTTAATAGAAAATAAAAAAATACTATAATAAGACAATAATCAGAGAGCATCCCTAATGCATCTCAAAATGTGTTTCAGGTTAAGGAGATCACACGGGACATCAAGCAGCTGGATCATGCCAAGCGTCACCTGACGACTTCTATAACCACCCTCAATCACCTGCACATGCTGGCTGGTGGCGTTGACTCTCTTGAGTACGTTTATTTAACATCAATACCTATACTAAGACACAACACTTTTTGCTAAAACCTTTGCCATTGTGCATTTTTCAGAGCTATGACACGAAAACGGCAGTATGGAGAGGTGGCCAATCTCCTTCAGGGTGTAGTCAATGTGCTGGAGCACTTCCAAAAGTACATGGGCATCCCGCAGATACGGCAGCTCTCAGAGAGGTACAGACTCGAGCACTAGACCAACACTCTTCAATGCTATTAAATCACTCACATTCTACACTGAGGCACTACACAATGCTTAGTTTTAGCCATTGGGTAATAAACTATTAAAGTTCACTCACTTGTGATTGAATTGCGGCTTTGGAATATGTTTGGTGCAGATATATATATACCAATAGATACATATAGCTTTGAAGTTTCACAACTATTTCTGGTCATATCAATGGTTTTGTAGTGTATTTGACGCACATTAAACTGTAGTATCTGATTCACTATCACTTTGCTCATGCAGCAAGCAAATGCAGACATACTTTTTTTAAAATAATCAATAATAAACTGACACAATTAAAACAATTTTTCTCTGATATCAACATAGAAGGAATGTGGCTTATGTAAGTGCGAAAATTCTCCAGCCCATTTACATCCCTAGGAACTGACTCTAGGATGAAAGGCACTGTTTTTACCTTATTTGGAAGGTTCATGAATATTAATGAGCACTGCTCTGATGCTCCTGCAGCTCATGTCAGTCGCTAAAGTTTAAATAAAATAAACTTTTAATCCTCATGTCTTCTTTTTAGGATTATCACGTTCTGAGATGAGATAAGATTCTTTATGTCTGTTGCATCAAAGAATGGTTGCTTTACCTGAGGGCTGTATAATCTCAGTCTTGTTTTCAAAATAAGAGTCCCTCATACATGGGAAATATAATAATCTGTCTTAAAAAAAATTAAAAAAGGGAAACAAATTATAATTGTCATCTCATTAGGGAATGTTATGGCCAATCAAACACTGCTTGGGGCATCCAATTAATGATCCTTTGGGTAACATCAGAATCTGTGTTTTTTCACATTGACCTGTTGTTCAGTGGTGTTTTACATGAGAACAAGGACTTAAGGCTGTTTGAGGCTCCCTCTACTGAACTCTTATAATTCAACATTACCTATATATAGGTATACCTGGGTTTTCTATCTATCACACACAGTCCAAAAGCCAAAAGCACCAGATATAATTTCTGAGTTATTTTTTACTTGTGGGTGCAGGACACCAGTCAATTTATGTGAGAATAAAAATTAAGTGAGGATAACAGAATGTAAACTGTGACACATTATACCCAAAAGTTAGTCATACAATGCACTAAAAATTAACAGGAAATGTGGAATCTGCTGGGAAATTCTTGAAGTTCAGCTTTGCATGATTCTGGTTGGCAGCAGCACAGGAGACTACAGGCTGTCAATGAGCCTAAGGCTAGACAGCAAATTATTAACAGTTGTGTAAATATTGTCATACTAACTATCAAAGTTATCTACCATTATCAAGATGAGTTTATGTACAGTGCATCCAAAAAGTATTCATAGCGCTTCACTTTTCCACATTTTTTATGTTACAGCCTTATTCCAAAATGAATGAAATTCATTTTTCCCTCAAAATTCTACACACAATACCCCATAATGACAATGAGAAAAAAGACGATTTAAAATTGTTGCAAATTTCAAAAAATAAAAAACCTGAAAAATCACATGATTTTTACGTAAGTATTCACAACCTTTGCCGTGCAGCTCTAAAATGAGCTCAGATTCTGTTTCCACTGATCATTCTTGAGTTATTTCAGCAGCTCAATTGGAGTTTACCTGTGGTAAATTCAATTCAGACTTGATTTGAAAAAGCATACACCTGTCTATTTAAGGTCCCAGGGTTGACGGTTTATGTCAAAGCACAAACCAAGCATAAAGACAAAGGAATTGTCTGTAGACCTCCAAGACAGGATTGTCTTGAGGCACAAGGCTGGGGAAGGTTACAGAAAAATTTCTGCTGCTCTGAAAGTTCGAATTAGCACAGTGGCCTCCATCATCTGTAAGTGGAAGATGTTTGGAGCCACCAGGACTCTTCCAAGAGCTGGCCGGCCATCTAAGCTGAGTGATGAACCCGATGATCACTCTGTCTGAGCTCCAGCATTCTTCTCTGGAGAGTAGAACCTTGCAGAAGGACAACCATCTGTGCAGCAATCCACCAATCAGGCCTGTACTGTATGGAAGAGTGGCCAGATGGGAGCCACTTTCCTCCTGGAATTTGCTAAAAGTCATCTGAAGGACTCCCAGACCATAAGAAACACAATTCTCTGGTCTGATTAGACTAAAATTGAACTCTTTAGAGTGAATGTCAGGCATTACATTTGGAGAAAACCAGCCACCGCTCATCACCAGGCTAATGCCATCCCTACAGTGAAGCACGGTGGTGGCAGCATCATGCTGTGAAGATAATTTTCAGCAGCAGGAACTGGAAGACTATTCAGGATAGAGGGAAAAATGAAAGCAGTCATGTACAGAGACATCCTGAATGAAAACCTGCTTCAGAGTGCTCTTGACCTCAGACTGGGGCGACAGTTCATCTTACAGCAGGGCAATGACCAAAAGCACACCGCCAAAATATCAATAAAGTAGCTTCACAACAACTTAGTGAATGCCCTTGAGTGGCCCAGCCAGAGCACAGATCTAAATCCTATTGAACATCTCCAGAGAGATCTGAAAATGGCAGTACACAGTCTCTTCCCGATCAACTTGATAGAGCTTGAGAGATACTGCACAGAGGAATGGGCAAAAATTCTCAAAGACCGGTGTGCCAAGCTTGTGCCATCATATTCAGAAAGACTTGAGGCTGTAATTTCTGCCATCAACAAAGTATAAAGCAAAGGCTGTGAATACTTAATGCGTTTTTATTTTTTAAAAATTTGCAACAATTTCAAACAATCTTTTTTTCACATTGTCATTTTGGGGTATCTATGTAGAATTTTGAGGAAATAAATGAATTTAATCCATTTTGGAATAAGGCTGCAACAATCAAAAATGTCAAAAAAGAAGCGCTATAAATATTTTCCGGATACACTAAGTTTAACTGTTAATTCTTGTCATTATTTCTTAACTGTAGAATAAAATGTCATACTGTGTGAAATGTTGAATGTGTTTAAACAACTTTTTGGTTTGACAGTATGTATGTACTCACACACTTGAGTGCGTATGTTTGTGATGAGTGAAAAAGCAAATACCAAAGGGAATTCCATTGGCAAGGTGTCTGTATATTATTAGAGACACTCATGCACTGTTTATTTGAATAAATCACAGCACTGAGAAGATGAGGATCCTGTTTATGTTTACTGAAGATGCAGCACAGGAAGGAAATCTGCTTTAGAGGGCCTCTTCATTTACCTTTTTTTTCACTACTGTGGCCTTTATCCCCAGCGGAAAGCAGCTCTTTGTTTCAGGCCTGTCCCAGTGGAGGAGTTCTCTCTGGTTTTGGGTGGTTCAGTACTTGTTCCCTGCTGGTTTGCAGACTGAGCCTTTCGTTGGCAATTCTGGACTTCCCATTGCTTGTTTATGTTGGCTACTCGGATAAAGCTGTTGTTTCATAAGCAGATGGCAAGGAAGGGTGTGTTTGATGTGGAAAACGATTCCCCTGATTTTTCTGAAGGTTTCTCTGGAAAAGTCATGCTCATTTTCAGTGGCCCTGTAGTCCAGTTTTGCTCTTCGGTTCGTAAGACGGAGCTCAAATGTCAAACGGCGTCCTTGAGTGGTGATGAGAGTTTGTTTGCTTGAGCATGCATTTGTACATCAAGCGAGTCCAGTGTTTTGTTAAAACAGCATTTAAGTGTGCCAAAGTATATCAGCACTTTCTGACCGCTGCGTAACTGCTGTTTTTTCCCCTCATCTGTTTCTTTTGTGGTTTAAAAAAAGAGATTATATTTGATGAGGGTGGAGGTTGGGGGTGCCTTGGAATTTATAATGTAAATAATATTACCCCCCCTCCCTTTTTGGTGATCAGATGGACTGATTTTAGTGGAATTGTTTTGAATTGCACAAGGTTATCACATATTTTGAAGAGGGAAAAAATTCTTGAGAAAATTGCTTGTGGTCTAATTGGATGTTTGTGGTTATTAATATTCATGCCAAATATGGAGGAATTGAAATGCTTTCTTTCCAAGCCTGACTGTCACTAATTAAAGAAGTTTTAATTTTTATTTTATTCACTTAATGAGATCAATAATTTAATAAATACAGTTTAATGCAACGTTTAGGTCATCCAAATCAAAAATCTTGGAAAATCTCATAACGAGTGCTAATTTTAGTACTGTTAATTTGTTGTATATTAGTTCCATTTAAAAAAATCACTCTTGATTTGTATATTTTATAAATATTACGTGATTAGACATTTTTTTGTATTTGCTGAAATTAATATGATTTAATATATGAGCAATATTACACAAGTAGCAGTGCGATGTGGCTGTATATCAGCACTGGTGGGAGGTGGCGCTGATATACAGCCATGTCGCACTGCTACAAGTGTGACATTGCGTTTATACAACAGTTCCACGGCACAATCGTGTATATAAAAAAGAAAATCAAACACAGGGAGTGTAAAAACTTTTTTTGTATTAGGAACTACTTTCTTCCGCCATTCATTCACATCTGCAGCTGACGTCAGAACAGCAGAAGCCATTGCTAATTCACCAACATTACTTTAGAGCTAGTATTGGAATGATTCTTTAGCGTAATATCTAAAGTGATGACAAAACAGCTGATTTTGCTCACAGTTTAAGATTATACGGCTGAACTTGACATTACAGTTTTACAGATATCTCATTACAGTATTACAGTCTATTAAAATCTACAGTATATCTCTGTTGCAATCAGAACATCACAACAATTAACCCTAAAAAAAGCAGCAAAATCACTACCAGATTAATGTTGTGTTTGTGATAAGGAAAATTGTTAATCACGCTTGGGCATTTCTTCTTTTTTTCTGCCAACACAACACACATTCCTGATATGCGAGTCCCATCTCACACTCAATACACTACAGTTATATGGTATAATTACAGCACTACAACATACAAAATATCACTTACCTGTTTAATATTGATTTGATCAACTGTAGTTAGAAATTACACTGTTTTAATCTTCTAAGGGCTTATTATGTGGTCCTGTCACCATCTTGTGGATAGACAGCGTCAACCGTCTTTGGTCTGCTCAGTATGGCAGGCCAACGTCTCTCAGAAATAATAAATATTTTGAACTAGGCACTATCCTTTTAAATGAACTGCATAGTTGCAATCTAAGCATCAACATTTTCGACTAAAAAAGCCTTAACAGTACATTATTTTGCCCAAAAACAGGAATATTTTTCAAACTGTAGAATGTCCTCTGTATGTTGTCGAATGTGGGTGGAGTAATACACAAAGGTGAAGGTGAAGGGTGAGAGTGTTTATTGGCAGAATATCACATGGCTATCAGATTCAAGAACCAGACAGAACTGTTGTATATAATATAATATAACATATTTAGATAAATGTAATCTTCAGCAAATCTCAAAATGAATATTAATTTTCTCTCTGTTTATAATAATGTTGAATTGTCTAAATAATTATTTAAATTCTACTGTATTTAAAAAATAATAATAATAACTTTATACATCGTCTACTTTTGGGATATAATATAATAATTGTACAAATATTTTTCATTTGCATTCTGTATAATATAATAGAAAATATATAGTATATATAATACCAAATAAATATAATCTATGTAATACCTACCAAAAGTTTGGGGTCATTAAGTTTTTACTAAATACATTTTTATTAAGCAATCTTTCATTGTATTAAGCATTTAATTGATCAAAAACACATGGTGATCTAATAACACTGTTAAATGTAATTTAATGCTTGACCAGGCAGTGGTTCAGATAGTGTCAGGGTCTTCATTGAGATGCTGAGAGAGCAGATTGGCAGCCATGTGCCCTGTTGAAGACTGCAGTCTGACTGGCAAGCGCATGTGTCTCCATCTCTCTCTTTCGCCCTTCTAAGTGTCTTGCATGTTTATTTTGGATGGCACTTGTGTCGATCCTTCTAGTGCCAGCAGCTCATCCAGAAATAAAAAGAGCAGTTTTTTAATCATCAAACTGTGCTTCGTTTAAACCCTATTGATGGGATTGGGGTTGATTCACAGCAACTCTCTAATTTCTGAGGTTTAGACCCAACATAAAGTTTGCCCTTATTGGTCGACAGTATTTGGATTAACATCTGTTTTCATACAAGTAGCTGATATTTATTTTGCTGTTCCAGTTCTTTTCACTCCAGGAGTTCTAATTCAGGGAGTGCAGTAAGGGACATTGGCCTGATACACCAGAGACTGCATCATGACTAAGCAATTCAAAATTTGGGACTTGTTGTTGGAAAGTCATGTTGTCACAAAAATCAATAGGTTGAATGGAAGAAAATTGTACTTGAACTTATAATTACAAGTAAAAATTCAAACAAAGGATTCATATCTCAACCTTTCTTGTTTTTTTTTTTTGTAGTCACTTTTATCATTTTGTTTTTTAATTTAAAGATTTTTTTAAAAATTGTAGCATTTCTTAGACCTGTTTTTATGTGTTTGTGGGAAATGGTGAAGCTTAGATTATATTATTTAAAATATTTTCACTGTATTAATACAGCGAAGGAGTAGATGATGTTAAATGCACTTCTTGGTCAAATGACTTCTGTGCATTTTTCGATCTACCATTGTCAGTTAATATTTAAGGTCCCGTAAAGAGCTTTGAAATGTGCTTTGTTTGACATAATTACATAACATGAGGACTGGGCTGGACATAAAGTAGCTTCTCCCCTTTAAAAGAAACAGCTAATTAGAAGATTCTCACAGCTCTGCCAGTGAAAGTGGTTAAGATTGATGCAAATAGCACTGGCATCTTGAAGGCGGGGCAGGGTGCGCAGATACTAGACAGCATTTGTTTGGTCAGAAGATTTGATGAGAAACTGAAGTATGAGGTGATGTCAAAAAATGTTTTAGGCAGAGGTGACAGACAAACTGCCATTTTTGGATGTTTATATCTTCTTTATGCAAATGTTCTAACACAATAGCTTATGAACACCATCTAACAAACGTCTTGTCAGCGATCCCAGTTGTAAGAGCAACAAATAATGAGTTGACTTTCAGTTGATCATTTAACAATACTGCAGAACACCGATTATAACTCACATGGACCCATGGAAAAATCATGGTTTGGAGTTGCATTCAGTATTGGGGTAAGCGTTCCTCAGCATGATAGAGATTCTTATCATACTTCATCCTCCACGTCAAAGTTCCTAAAAAGCAAAGAAGGTCAAGATGCTTCAGGATTGGCCAGCCCAGTCATGAGACATAACATTATTGAGTATTTCAGGGGTAAGATAAAGGAGGCATTAAAGATGAATCTAAAGAATCTTGATGAAATCTGGGAGTCCTGCAAGAGCGCTTTCTTTGCTGTTCCAGATGACTTTATTAATAAGTTATTTGAGTCATTGCAGAGATGTGTGGAGGCAGTCCTCCAAGCTCATGGAAGTCATGCACAATAATTATTTTCCCACTGCACCACGACTTTATATTCTGTACTGTACAATATTTCTGTTAAGTGACAAGACTTTGTCTAATCAATGTCAGACCTTACTGTCCTAATTAAATCATTAAAAATCAAGGCATGATCATATTTTATTCTGGTAAAATAAGCATAATCTTGAGGCATTTGCCATATAAGCCACTTCTGATGCCAAATGATCAACTAGAATTCAAGTTATTATTTGTTGATCCCAAAACTTGAATAGGCGACGACTTTTGTCAGGTAGGGTATATCCTTAGGACTAGCATACTGATACAAAGATCTAAAAAACTTGATTAAAAAAAAAAAAAAAAAATATATATATATATATATATATATATATATATATATATATATATACACAAAAAAAGGAGAAAGCTCTTGATTTTTTTTTACTCTCTACTTTTAAGTTTTAGGATATAGTTTAATTTCTGTGGTATTTAAGTTTATATAATGTATTGTAAATGTACTAGGAAATGAAAATTCTAGATGCACTTGCTGAAAATCAAAACTAAAAATGCTTTGTGATAATTATTTATTATTTTATTACATAGCTGCAATTTTCTTTGGGAAAATGTATGACCTGTCGATATCAATTTTTGCAGATTCCGATTTCATTTTCTTTTCATTTGTCAGAATTGCTTTTGACCAAGACAATTGTTTTTGTCCCTCCTCAGAGTAAAAGCTGCACAGAGTGAACTTGGTACACAGATACTGGCTGACTTTGAGGAGACGTTTCCTGCCCAGGGGTCAAAGGTAAGGATGCGGCTTTGGGATCACAAATAATCAACTCTTATAGTCTCTGAATCACTTCAGTGACAGATTTAACTTGTTGTTTGCAGAAATCTGGAGGTCCCAGCATTGTTCTCAGAGATGCCTGTTTGGTGGCAAATGTCCTGGATCCTCGGATTAAGCAAGAGATCATCAAAAAGTTCATCCGGCAGCACCTTTCAGAATACATGGTGCTTTTTCAAGAGAATCAAGATGTGAGTGTGACTTTTATTTATTTGATAATACTGTGAAGTGCCTTCTCATTTACAGTTCTGCTGATTGTCCTGAGTACAGGTGGCATGGCTGGACAAGATTGACCGGCGATATGCATGGATCAAGCGTCAACTGGTGGATTATGAGGAGAAATATGGACGAATGTTTCCTGAAGAGTGGTGCATGACTGAACGCATCGCTGTTGAGTTCTGTCACATCACCAGGTACTGCTTCAATTCCTCACTTTATGCTGCTGCTTCTTTATTAGCTTCTAAATTGTGGAATTTTTTTTGATGTCACTGGTCAGGTGTGCATTAATTTTTTATAAATATATTCTTAGGGTGTTTACAGGTTTATATGCTCATTTAAACCAGAGGAATAACCCCTAGAATAAAAAGCACAGTTTTGACCATATTTGAAGAAGTTGTAAATATAAGATATACGATTCTGATGGTATGATAGCCTTGGATAAAAATAGCACAGTTTCACAGTATTGTGATTACTGCTGTAAAATGTTTATTTTTTATTTTTTATATATCTTCTTTACTTATACTTTCAAAAACAGATTTCTTTACAACTTAAAAAAGCGTCTTTGGATATCTTTCTTTTCTGTGGATATAAATAAGCCACTGCACTGTTCAGGGATGTAGTTGGTTTACAGCCAGGAGTCAAAGCCAGTTCCTGGAGGGCACAGTTTAATTTCAACTCTAATTTACACACCTGATCAAACTAATTGCAGCCTTCAGGCTTGTTTGAACCTTACAGGTATGTGTGTTGGACCAGGGTTGGAACTAAACTGTGTAGGGCTGCAGCCCTCCAGAAACACACACTCACACACACAGCGTGATGTACTATAATCACGTGCAAAATAGTCATAATTCATTTGCCAAATGATTGGTATACAGTGTTTTGCATTCTGACAAGCTTTAAATCGATGAGATGCGTGGCAGCTTGCTTCAGAGGGAACTCATTTACTCTTCCTATTTCTTTTTTTTTTTTTTAAATAGTATGTTTAATACAATCCTAGGTAAGCTTAAAAAAATCTAATGGAAATCTGCAGGGTTGAGCTTTTTCTCTTAACGAGTTATGGGTGTGTTTTGAGAATAAACTAAGCAGAGTCTCCTCTCCCATTTCCTTTAAGAGTCAGCTGCATCTCGCCATGGTGCATTTGCTATTTACATGGCTGACTTTGTAAGAGTAAAAACTGAACGCTTCTAGCGAGAAAACAGTTAAACAAATCATTTGCAGCGCGAGGATAAAGAATGAGCCTCTTCCAATTGGCCTTTACTTTCACTTTCTCTCTTTCGTGGATAGGGAAACAGCGTTGTACGCACAGACATCCATTAGCGTACATATTTAATTTACTTTGTTAACTCAAAGATTTGTTTCAAAACTATTTCTAAATTCAGTTCTAATTTCCAGTAAACAAATAAATGAACAAATAACAACAAAGTGTTATACTCAAACACACATGCTGTGTCCCATATGGTCCAAAACCTGACAGGTGGACAAATCTAAGCTTGTTTTTTTTAAAACTAATATAAACATGCAAATAATAAATAATACTACTAATAATAATAACATTAAAAGCAAATTGTCATGAATAAACTAAAAAAAAAAAACTGCGATGAAGAAGGCATGGAGGCAGTGGATTTTATATTTGCGTAAAAAATTAACAAGTTTTCTAGTATTTTAATTCTTAAATTCGTTTTCATTTTTAAAGACATTTGTGTATTGCTATACATCCTGCGTGTTTTGTGTAGGCATTGTGTAAGTAAGGCACACAACTGACGCGCTCTGTGCTGGACTTTAGACCTGCTCTCAGCTGGTCTATTGCACAGTCTATTTTAGTTCCTCAAAATAGCAATGCGCCTTCACACAAACTTCTTTTCTAGACCGAAACACCCATGAGTCCACAAAGTGGTGCAAATGGATTTGTTATTTAAACGACGTGGCGGAAAATGGAAAAATTAAGGTTGCATTTGTCTGAAAATAGCAAAACATCGTGGCAAACATGTTTATGATGGAGCCCTTAGTGCTTTCTTTGGGATATTACACTCACTGGATTTACATGAGAATGAGGAAACAATCTTGTGTTTGAGGCTCACAGTATGTCAATTACATGAACTGAATTCTTATTATCCAGATATGCTTATACAGTATATATCCAGATTTGTATTATGTAGAACCCTCAAATAATTCATTACTTGCCCTTTCTCACTTTAAGGTCCCAATTCAAATAGAGCACATGTCAAATAGAGTTTAAAATGTTGCATGCACTGCAAAAAAAAAAAAAAAGCTTATTGTTTAATTATATGACTAATTAATTTATTAGTTTTTTTTTATATAAATCTTATTACATTTGGAGGACACTGATGTATTGTGCTCACTTCAGATTATTCATTCAATTTAGATCACTTGGCCTTAAAAGGTCTTAAACATATCATAAAACCTACAATCATGACATTAAAGGTTGCATGCACTGCAAAAAAATGTAATCCTCAGCACTTTTGTTTTCCAGTACAAATATTTAAACATCCTCACATCTAAATAAAGAAATTAAATCTTGTTTACTGCCAATGTGATCTAAAGAGACTTCCTAAAAACAAAAATCGCAACCATTTGAACATTCGTGTATGTGTTTGATTTCTAAATATTATTATTCAATGTTTCCTATAATTTTACTTTGTTTTAAAGTTTGAAAAGTGGATTTAGTGTTGTATTTTGATGTTTTAAATAACAAAGTCGTCATGTGTCCATTTTGGCATCATTAGTGTTTCACAAAAACTTATCAATTGAAGACATAAGCAGCACTGAACAGGCTTGTAATTACAGTAATTTTGAGATGATGTGAGTCCAGAATAAATCCTCATTATCTCCACTGGTCCACAGTGAAAATACACCTGGGGATTTACTGTAGAAGTGCATTTAGTGGTTGGCGTAGCAGACTAGACATTAGACAGCACACAACTATGGCATGATTTGGCAAAAGACAAAACTGTGCAGTTTGACATGAATGATTAGATGGAAAGGCACTGGTTACATGTCTGGGTTTTCAGAAGTGGTATTATTGACAGTCTGAAGTAGGCTATGTGTATGTGTGTTGTCTATAGTCTGACTCTGATTCTACTCCAGAGAGTCATTACAAAACCCTCAATGCCTGGAAAGAACGTTTGAGCTCTGCTGAAATTTGAGCTAAAATATTTCTCTCTTTCTTTTTGAGAAAGCTTTTGTAAGAATGGATACACCACATCACCATCTTCTGTCGTTTTTTCCTTTTCAATATAGCTAATTTTCAAACTGACGGTAACTTGATCTTTTCTTGCAAATTCAATACTAATCCATTGTGGTTTCTTTTAACAGCCAAACCAGGCATCTGACCTATAAAAGCATCAACATGAAGTTTTAGTTCTACTTGTCATGTTAGGCTTTTCCTCCTGAACCCGTTTCTGTGTTTCGTTCTCTCTTTAGAACTGAGCTGACCAAGCTGATGAGAACACGTGCCAGAGAGATTGAGGTCAAGCTTTTGCTATTCGCTATTCAGAGGACTACCAATTTTGAGGGACTGCTGGCTAAACGCTTCTCAGGCTGCACCTTGAACGACGGGCCCGGGGTGAGGCCATCCCACTCAGACAGTTCATTTTTGCAGCGATACCATTCCTGTTTTGAAGAAGCAAACAAAAGCATTTAGCTGGGTCATGATACACCTGCTAAACCTATAGCCTTTAATTAATTTATTTTTTATAAAAAAGTTGAATTTATTACAATTTAATCTAATATTTATCTAAAATTTGACCAGCCATGCAATTACATGTCCACTTTTGTTTTCAAAAACAGCTGCTGCGTCCCAATTCCCATACTTATACTACGCCCTAAATGTATGTACTTTTTTTGCGAAGGAAAAACATATACTCTTGAGTGTGTAACAGATGACTATGCAAGCTTTGGGACATACTATTTCCTCAGTAACAGATCGTTAGTTTGTTTAATTTTGAGCCCTGTCAATCATCCACACATCATCCACATGTCATATTTAATTTCTTACCTTATTGGAGAAGCAGCAGAAGGTTAATATGCCATTCACGAGTCTTTCATGCAGAGGAATCTCCTCAAGTTTCTAGATAATTTTGCATTCTGACGTTAATGTCCAAACACGTCTTAGTTCAGTCTTGTTGTTGCAGATAAAATATAATACAGAAAACGTTATTTTAATATTTTCCAGTGGGCTAGATATTATTACCAGTCATACAAACATCTTACCGTAGCCTTTCTACTTGACAGTTGTTCTTGTGCGTTCGCCATGTTTGTAGTTTATTTACTTTTTTCAGCCACATTTGTAGCTCTAAACGAATTCACATCAACGTGCAATGTACTTTAGGCAGTATTAGCGGTTACAGTATGGACGGTTCTACACTGACTTTTTTCTGGAAATAGTAAACCACCTAGGAACCTTTGGCCTACCATTTCCAACATACTATGATTTGGGATATACTAATGTTACTTTAAAATACTATTTAAGATGGGTAGTATGCGAATTGGAACACAGTGAGTGTTTATTTCAAAATAATAATAATAATAATATTAATAATAACAATAACAAAATAAATTATATTTATGATCAAACAAATCAGTAATCTCACTAAAGTTTTAAATTTATCATCATAAAATCTACTGTCAGGGCATTTAGTGTAGTCATGTAAATGTAGTCTTATTCATATTTTTATATAAATATTATAATAATTTTAATAAAAACTTACAGTGCATCTGCAGTATATCGTATTTATAAATGTACACTACCGGTCAAAAGTTTGGCGTTAGTATGATTTTTAAATGATTTAAAATAAGCTTTTCCTGCTCACCAATTATTATTATTATTAATGGTAATAGTAATAAAAGCAATAATGACTGGAGTAATAATTTTATATGAAGCTACATACAATAAGAAAGCAGTTATTTAAAATTGTTATAAATATTTAACAATTTAACTTTTTACTTTACATTTAATAAATGCTGCTTTGATTAACAGCATAATTTTCTTTAAAAAAAAAAAAAAAAAAAAGAAAGAAAAGAAAAAAAACTGACCCCAAACTTTTGACTGGTAGTGTGTATGTATTAATAATGAATTGATATTGTTTTTATGTAGCAACAGTAAAATTAAAATAGTAATTTTTGTCCATTAACTTTCTTTCAGATGGCAGATCTTAGAACTTTTAATTTTTAGTTGAGTATTGTTCCTCAGAGATACTGAAATTATTATCATGAGCTGCTCATAATAAACTTTAAAGTTCTGAAATGAAGTGAAGTGAGTATTGTCAAGTATGGTTACCTATACCTGATGTTGGTTCTCTATTTGTCTCATGCAAGTGTACATAGATGAGTGGGAACTGAGTGAGAACATACACACACACACACACACACACACACACACACACACACACACACACACACACACACATTTGTTTTTTTGTGAAATGTGAGGACATTACATATGTTTCCATTGTTTTTATATTGTACAAACGGTTGTCTTCTATCGCCCTAAATCCAACCATCACAGGAAACTGTGTACAGTTTTACTTTCTTAAAAAAAATTATTCTGTGTGATTTATAAGCCTTTTAAGAAAGAGGGCATCAGCAATGTCCTCATATTTCACCACCATGTTATGTCAATACTGATTTGTTTTCTGATATGTCACAAAAACATGTAGACATACTTGTAGCAGTAGGCAACTATCTCTTCACTCTACCATGAGTGTGCAGCATCTTCTAGGATGTGACGGCAGCCACAGGACAACGATGCCTGTGCGCTTACCACACACCAGCTATTGGTGGAGTGGAGAGACAGTGATACAGCCAATTTAGTCGATGGGGATTTTTGGGAGGCCATGATCATAAGGGCCGATTGAGGGACTTTGGCCAGGACACCGGGGTTACACCCCTTCTCTTTACGAGAAGTGCCATGGGATTTTTAATGACCACAGAGAGTCAGAACCTCGGTTTAACATTTCAGTCAAATAAAGTTTGATAATCACAATAAACCATATTAAAGTGTCATGAATATGAGAATTAATAATAAATAATTTGCCAGCTAACTATTAAATAACACTGCATAAATGTTGGCACCAATAGCCTAGTGGTTAAGTGCGCCGACATATAGCACCATGGTGCTCATGCCACGTTCGATTCCCAGCTCGAGGTCCTTATCCGACCCTTCCCCTCTGTCTGTTCCCAACTATTTCCTGTCCATTCTCTGCACTATTCTATCCATTAAAGGTTAAAAAACCCTAAAAAAAATAATAATAAACACTACATATATAGTCGCGATGCTGATTATTACTCTCATTTAGCACTTGCAGAGACTTAATTTTCGGCCCTTTGTGCTTTGTGTAATCTGGCTCTTATGTGTGTTGCTCCTTTTTTTTTTGCTCTCTCAGCAGAAAAAGCCAGAGACTCCTTTAGAACCAACAAACCCCTTTCTGGAAGATGAGTCTGGAGAGGACAATGTATCAGAAAAGGATGAAGATTTGGACAGAGTGAGGCCGCTTATCTGTATTTGTGCTTTTTCATGACTACATTTGTGCTCCTGCTGTCTTCTGATAGTAGTTTACACTGCATTTGGTACAATTCCAACATACAATTTGCATTTTATTCTAATGGCATTCGATTTGACTTTCATCTGAACTCTGGCCTGGATCAGCAGCGAATTCTCTCTAATTGACGTATTTTCAAAACATTCAAGGCTCCTTTTTGTGATGTATTTTAATATAACAGCTTGACTTTGGCTCGGATCATTTATTTATTGCACTCTTCTTTCCTTTTATCTTCAAATTGGCAATGATGTTCTCAGTATCAGGTGTTGTAAGAATGAATCTGATGATTTGGGTTCCTCAAAAGTTCACTGTTATCAATGTGCTGTTTTGCAACCTAATTTCCTTCCACTTTCCCCGGCATGCTGGTGCCGCTGTAGTTCATGTCTTGGGTATTATCTTTATTAATGTTATTTTAATGGTCGGATTTAGACAGTTTGTGAACTATAAGTAACATTGCAACAACATGTCAATGACCAGTCTTTAAAGCGTTAGGGATGGATTTACTAAACAGACAAATTAGTGTGAGAGCACAGTTAAAAAAAAAGCACTCGTGTGTGTGTGTGTGGAAAGTTTTGTGAGTGATGCACTGACAAAGTACAACTGAAAATAGTGGGACTCAAATCTTTGTTTTCATAATGGCAAAAAAAAAATTTGTGCTTGTGCATGTTGTTGGTAAATCTGCTTGATATCTGCTATTAGGTTAGCTTTAGGTGCTGTTTACGCTAGTGCATTCTTTCTTTTAAAATGTATATGTTTTGTTACAGAGCTGCGAAAATGGAGTGTTTTGAAAATTCTCAAGACCCATATTTCCTAAACACAATAAAACGCCAGTAGTTTTAAATCAAAAATGTTATTTTAAAACAAAAATGCATTTGTGTGAATGGCACCTTTGGCCTTTCATAGGTAAAAACAGTTATGTCAGTGATCCACTGAGATGCGTTGCCGTTTCAACTTGGTATTAACAATGGATCAAATGGATTTATGACACTTGTGTTAAGATGTCCTTCCCTCTTGTTTTTGCCACAATCTACATCATATTCGTGGGAGTGTTGTCCCTCTGGGATTGGACTGAAACATCTTAACACCAAGTGTAAACCAGGATGTTTGTGGGGTCTTAAGTCTTAAATTTCAAGAACTAAATTTTAGTCCTAAATTCACTGAAATATGGTTTTGTAGGCTTTACATACTTTTAAATGAGTCTTAATTTTCCTTGGTCCGTGGTCCAAAAATAAAAAGGATTAACTCTATTTACCAATATGGTTTATTTATCTTCCTTACATCCTTACAATAACATTTCTTTAAAAGTTCTCTGTGTATTTATGCATTAATGTACAGTATGTTGTGCATTTAGTTTATTATAATTTTTTAAAACATTTCTTTTTTTTAAGAAAAGTTATGCTAATAAAAAAACACATGTTTACTGTATAGAGTTTGCTTGTTTTAACACATTATTTAAAATAAGTGGCTAAGAAATAATTGAATTTTAATTTTAATGAAGCAAATAAAAATAAAAAATCAACTGGATGTTAACGTTTTCCCCTGTAAAAGTGGTAAACAGGATTTCAACTTAACATTCTTTATTTATTTGTTTTGCCATTTTTCCTTTATTATGACAGCCTGGGGTGGGATTGAGAATAGTCTGCAAGTACGGACTCAAATTCGGTATGACTGCAGGACAGTTGCGCTATATGTCGACACACTGTCCACTACAATATTAGACATAACTTCTTAACTACACATTAGCTTGTGCTCTGTTTACACTTAAAATTTATTTTTTTCTTAACCAAATTACAAATAGATGACACTAAATACAATGTCAAATAAAAACTGCTTTTACTAATAAAAAACATCTTTTTACAACAAGGCCTTATCCTCTACTTATACTCGAGTCAGAGTAAGTTGAAATGTAGTTGCAAATCGACTTGAAATCAAATACATATCAAAAGAGGACCATCAAAATAATGTGTGACCTTTTTGTTAAGCTAAAACCAAGACAAACATTTTTGAAATTAAAGTAACATTAGCCATTTTTATGTAGTATTAGTACTAAAATAATTTAAAAAATCATGTATTTTTCTGTTCACAGCCAAAGAAGCCCAAGGCTCCAGACAACCCTTTCCACGGCATTGTGTCCAAGTGTTTTGAGCCTCACCTCTACGTTTACATCGAGTCGCAGGATAAGTGAGTGAAATCTGCTGTAATGTTGTGCACAGCCATGTCAGATAATTCACACAGAAAGGAAGAAACTCTTTCATTTCAGGGTCATATAAGGACCCCCCCCTCTCTCTCAGGCTCCCCCAATCTAGGCAGTTAAGTAAAAATGCTTTCCGTGTTAACTATTAACCACAAATGCAGGATACAACCTAAAAACAGATTTCTTTCATGTTCACAGTCTCTACCGCTCTTTCCGGCTTACCCTCTCTCTCACCCACAAGGCTTCCAAGAAAAGGGCTTGTTGTGGAGGCTTTTCTCTGGCCTATGAACACTCCACTGGCACTGCCTAAAGCAAAATGACCTTTCTGTTAACAATGGCTTGCATTATAGCAGTTCACACTGACCTGTCTGGCATGAGAGTGACCACATTCTTCTCTCGGGGTTCACATCTATCTGATTACTTAGTGCTGAGAGAGATGGCCTGTTTACTGACCTAGAATACAATGCTGTTTAAAGCAAGTTAAATACAGCATAAGCAGATATTTGTGCTAATAGCCATTTTTTTATAATATGAAATGATATGAAATGATATTATATTATATGATATGATATTATATTATATTATATTATATTATATTATATTTTATTTTATTTTATTTTATTTTATTTTATTTTATTTAAACATAAATGGATGAAAAAAATAATGAAAACTGTCATAAAATAAAAAATAATGATTGTGTACAGTAAAGACATTATGTAATATACATCGCAGTGGGGAATGATAGTTGAAGTTTTAAATAATAAAAAAAAAAGTTTGAAAAAGTTTGACATTTAATTCAAACTTAATATAATAGACCTATGTTGCCTCACCTTGTAACAATGTGTTATTAGAAACACCTTACATTAATATAATATAATATTGGTGACACATAAACTAATAATAAAAGATTCAGCATTATATAATATAAAATAATATCATATCATATAATAAATGCTGAGAGCGGTGGCCTGTTTACTGAATTGCAATACAATGCTGTTCAAAGCAAGTTAAGTACAGCATAAGCAGATATTTGTGCTAATAGCTGTTTTTATTTTGAAAGAATTCCAATTATTACAAATATGAAACCAGTTGCTATTTTTTTTTTTTATGTATGTTTTATATTTTACTTGTATTTTTTGACAAAACAGTGTCCAAATCAGAATGTTACCGAAGGTTCCAACTTAAATATTTAATTGTATGTTTATTATTTTGTTTTTTATTGTTCATTGTATATTATTTTTGTTATTTTTCCAATACAAACCTTAAATTATATTTGTTCCCCTTGTGATGTTAGTTTGTTTCTCCTCAATCAGACACAAAGCATCCATTAAGTTGTTCCAACTTTTTCTTTTTTGGATTTATAGCTTTTCCATGCAAACAACAGGCTATACTCCTTTTCAAAAAAAAGTTAGACCTTGCAAATACATGCATATATTTTTTTCCCCAAAATTACATAGTATGTTTCCAATCATAAACAGATCATATCTCAGATTGGTGCCCCTTCAAAACAAAAAACGCTAAAACTTTTATATAATTATGTGTGCATGCTAAGTTGATTTCACCAAACCCAAAGGTTCCATCAGAATGAATGGCCTACAAAAAAACCTTGCGAAAAATTACCTTTTAGTTTAGTGTTGGTAATCAATTCCAAATACATTCAAAACATCTCGAACAGAGATGCCCAAACTAGGGCCCGTGGGCCATGGTAATCTTTAACTTTGTCCGTCATCCCATCTGAGAAGAGAGGAAGAATGATAGGGATCCATTTGAGATTGTCAATTCAAATTAAATGTAATCCTTTGATTATTTTATTGTTAAAAGCCAGCTGAAATTAAGTTTCAATTAAATTTTGTAAATTTATCAGATTTTGATTAATTTCAATGATTGATAATTTCAATGATGTTTGGTATTGGCCCTTCATACAAAAAAGTTTGGGCACCCCTGATCTAGAACTTTCTGGTACATTTTATCTTTAATAATAAAATAAACAATTACAAATATACACATTTATTAAATTAAGATGCAAAAATATACACGATTGTATTTGGTTACGTATTTATCATCACATATTTTAGAAGCATAAAATGTGAACATTTTAGCAGTTTTCATATGGGCTCAATTTAAATTCTTTCACTTTTGTTCTCTGTCTTAGAAATCTTGGAGAGCTGATTGACCGTTTTGTTGCTGACTTCCGGGCGCAGGGTCCCCCTAAATCAGGTACAGATGAGGGTGGTGCTGTGCTGCCCAGCTGTGCTGATCTCTTTGTGTACTACAAGAAGTGTATGGTGCAGTGCTCTCAACTGAGCACCGGAGAACCCATGATTGCTCTGACCACCATCTTCCAGAAGTATCTGCGCGAGTACGCCTGGAAGATCCTCTCCGGAAACCTACCCAAGTGAGTCCAGCAAACTAACTTTTTTTTGTCTTTTCTATTTGTTATGGGTTATTTTGATTTTCGTTTTGGTATTTACTGGAAAAAAGGCAAAGTTTTGATTACATCTTGACCATCATCAATGCCAAGCTAACAGTGTTAGAACTGGGAGCCATCTTAATTTAACGAGTCACATGATGATTAAGTAGAGCACATGATCAAACCAGACCAAGCAAAAATCAATAAAATTAAAAAGTTTATAGTAAAAAAAAAGATTTTTTAATATAATATAATATAATATAATATAATATAATATAATATAATGTAATGTAATGTAATGTAATGTAATGTAATGTAATGTAATGTAATATAATATAATATAATATAAGGGCCATGCGGTGGCACAGTAGACAAGAAAGTTGCTGGTTTGGCTGGGTCTGTTGGCATTTTTGTGTGAGTTTGCTTGTTCTCCCCGCGTTTGCGTGGATTTCCTCCAGGTGCTCTGGTTTCCCCCACAAGTCCAAAGACATGCGGTATAGGTGAATTGGGTTGGTAAAGTTGTCTGTAGTGTATGTGTGTGAATGAGTGTGTATGGTTGTTTTGTGATGGGTTGTGGCTGGAAGGGCATCTGACCACAGATTAATAAAGGGACTAAGCCGAAAATAAAATGAATATAATATAATATAATATAATATAATATGATATGATATGATATGATATGATTATGATATAATGTAATGTAATGAAATGAAATGAAATATAATGTAATGTAACGTAATGTAATGTTATGTAATATAATAGAATATAATACAATATGATATGATATGATATGATGTAATGTAATTTAATGTAATATAATATAATAGAATATAATACAATATAATATGATATGATATGATATGATGTAATGTAATTTAATGTAATGTAATGTAATGTAATGTAATGTAATATAATGTAATATAATATAATATAATGTAATGTAATGTAATGAAATATATAATATAATATAATATAATATAATATAAAGTAATATAATGTAATATAATGTAATATAATGTAATATAATATAATATAATATAATGTAATCTAATGTAATGAAATATATAATATAATATAATATAATGTAATGTAATGAAATATAATATAATGTAATGTAATATAATATAATGTAATGTAATGAAATATAATATAATGTAATATAATATTTAATACTGGTGCCATAGAAGCTAATAGTAAAAGAGTCAGCATTATAATATAAAATATATAAAATAAAATAATATAATAATGAAACATAAATGAATAAAAAATAATGATTGTGTTCTATAAAGACACTCGGTAACGTATATTATAGAATAATGGTTGGAGATAAGTTTAAAAAAAAACTTTGACATTTAATCCCTTCAGATAAGCTTTGGCAAGATATTGTTGATCTCATGGACATGAAATAAGATAAGATGACGAACAAGTGATGGTCTCGCTTATTTTGAATGTTTTGATTTTGATCCTCCCAGTCGCTGAGGCTTTTATTCATGGTGTTAATGCAGTGGTGATGCCGCAGAGCAGAGCGAGTGCTTGTTTCTGTGTGGTCGCGTTTGTGGGGTTTCTTCAAAAGAAGAAAAATCCCCACCCGCCTGCCTTGTGTGGTTTACCCCGTATTGTCTTTGGGAGTTTCAAAAAGGATCTTTGTTTTGGAGAAGCTGCCTTGTGGTTTCCATGCAGTCTTTCTTGTGTTTCTTTCAGTGGGGAGGGCCGCAGGCTTGACTTGGGCTGCTTTGGTAACCATATTTGTTCGTGTTTGCATGCAGGACCAGCACCAATAGTGGTGGTCTGACCATCAGCAGCCTGTTGAAGGAAAAAGAGGGATCAGAAGTAGCCAAGTTCACCGTGGAAGAGCTGTGTCTGATTTGTAGTATCCTCAGCACGGCTGAATACTGTCTGGCTACCACACTACAGGTCAGCCAGCACACAACCAGTTGAAGTCTTGTTAGCCCTCCTGAATTGTTAGCCCCCTGTTTATTTTCCCCCCAATTTCTGTTTAATGGAAAATAAGATTTTTTTATACACATTTCTAAACATGAAAACTTTAATAACAAATTTCTAAAAACTTCTTTTATCATTGCAATGATGACAGTACATAATAAGTTACTACATATTTTTAGGATACTAGTATTAAGCTTGAAGTACAATGTAAAGGCTTAACTAGGTTAATTTGTAATTTTTTAGTGAATTAGTTAATCAATTTATTTTTTAAATAAATTTTTGACCATTTTAGTGCTAAAACATTAGTAATAAAGTAATAACTGTTATACGTCATTTGAATCCTGACCTGAAAGATTGTAATAATAATAATAATAATAATAATAACAACAATAATAATAATAATAATATTTTTTTTTTTTTTAGTTTAAACTTTATTGTCCGTTCTGCTTGACACAGAAAGGAAATTTTTCTTCAACACTGGATTTAGGACAACAGTTACAAACATACAACAACGACACAATAACACTTATCAACACAACAACATAAGTTAAAAGTTTAAAAACCAGATTAGCCCCATACACAATACTGCAAATCATACTTGGTAACCACCTCATTCACTACAAACATTGATCCGGTTTAGAACAACAACTGCCATTGGGATAAATGACTTTTTGTAGGCATTTCTTCGTGCTTTAGGAATTCTAAACCTGCGTCCTGATGGTAGCAATTCAAATGCTGAGTGAAGGGGATGTGTATTATCTTTAAAAATCACAACTGCTCTTTTTTCCATAAAAGAGTCAAATAAAATCTGCAATGAATGCTGTTTGTGAACAGTTATCTTATTTGCCTAATTGATACTTTGCGCTAATTTCTTTTTCTGTTTAAGTGTTGTGTTACCAAACCATGAAACAATATTATATGTGAGAACACTCTCTATAAGTGATCTATATGCCAAGTTTAAAGTCTGTGTACTAACATTAAAACTTCTCAATTTGCGGAGGAGATAGAGGCGCTGACTTGCTTTCTTATAAACCGCCTCTATATTACTATTAAAATTCAATTTAATGTCAATAATTGTGCCTAAATACTTGAAATTTGAAACCTGCTCTACTATTTGTCCGTTTATGGTGACTGGTTTAAAGAGTCCAGTATCTACTCTTCTTGTTTGACTCCCCAGACATAACTCTTTTGTTTTCCCAATATTTAGGTGTAATGAACTTTTGCTAATAATGAATAAATAAATACAATTAAATTGTAATAAAATAAAAGAATAATAATAATAAAATAACAACATAAAATACAAAATTATATTACAAAAAGGCATATTACATTTCTTTTGTCCTGACTGACTCTAACAGACAAGTTTTAGTCTTAGAAACTTAGAGGTTTCTAGAGAACCAAAGAAAGGGTCGCAGGTCTGATAAAATAGAAAAGGTTTGTTATTCATAGCTGTGGAGGAAGCCTCAAGTGGGATTATGTTGCAGACTGCAAGCAGCCATTGATTTAAACTGGGCTTGATTTAAAGCAAGCCTTTGCTCCCAATCGAAATGTACATTTAAAGATGGCGTTGAGCTGCAGTCTAATCAAGTCCCAGAAATGCTGTATAAGAGAACAACTCCGCATACAATGATAGAAAGATCCAATGTCCGATTTACATTTGACACACAGCTCAGACAGACCTGGATTCATTTTATGTCTAACCTCAGGCGTAATAAAGTCTGTGTAAAATTTTTAATTGCCTTTTCCAAACAGAATTTGAGGCTACAACAGTAAGGCTACGTTCACACTGCAAGGCCTAGTGCTCAAATCTGATTTTTTTGCATGGCTGTTTACACTACTCTTATAAATGTGGCCAATATCAGATTTGCAGTGTGAACAGATCCTGTTCCTAAACTGACCCACATGCGCAAAAGTACACTTACGGAGAGCACAAAATGTCTAATTATGCACATAATGTGAATACTGTATGAAGTACATTGTCAGATCATGCTTATATAATTATTACACTTTTCACAGACAACCGTGGTGCATGGTGACAACCAACTGTAAAGGGTTGTTCTGTTACTACTTATGTGTATTTCGGCATTTTAAACCTAAAATAAGTCTCTTGTGATTAAAAACACTGATCACTTGTGATTTATGACAACCGCGGTGCGTGGCGCTCTGACCACCGGTGTATAGTGAACTCATCAAGGGTTAATGAGCAGCCGTAGACTGAACTGTGAAGGCAGAGTTGGTTTATGTCTGTTTGCAGTTATTTAATTTTACTTGATTATAAACAGCAAACACGTCCAGAAGGGGGGTTTGGGTGCTCAAGCACCTGCTCTTTTTTCTCACAAAGAGAAAGTTTCCGCTCCCTTTCACGAATCCCCCACTACTACACCCACGACACTCTTCGACTTCGTGATCAACCCGTGCCTCAATCGTTAACCAGATTAGTTAACAAGCAACAGTTTGGCCTTCAAAATCTTTTTCAACATGAACAACCGACTATCTGTGGTACAGTAATTGCCCTGTGTGTCATTCTACTATACGGCTGAGGAATAGATGGTGTTTGAAGGACAGAATGATGACGCATGTTGCTCAAAGATTATGTAAAAATCACATGAAATCCTACATAACCATTCACACTGCTGTCGCATTGCAAAACATCAGATCTGTGTCTGATTTAAGACTAGATATGAAAGTGGCACAAAATTTAGGTGTAGAGATCAGATTCCATGCAGTTTGGGCTGTTCACACTGTCATTACTTGAGTCACATGAGGAGGAAAAAATCAGATTCGGGCCACATTTGCCTGCAGTGTGAACATAGCCTAAAGAGGGTTGCTACGTAAATCCAGACAGGAGTCATTATCAATTACACTACCCAGATCAGCTTCCCATTTACACTTAAGTGAGTCACGGTTATTAGTTTTAATATTACAAAGTGTATTATAAACATGCCGCGTTAAATATTTGATCTATCAATGGCCAGAAGTGATTTAACTGGGGAAATACCAAATCCTCCTGGGTAATCTCTATATTTTGTCAAAATAAAATTTCGAACCTGTAGATAATTTTAAAAGTCCATATTAGGAATCCTAAACTTGTTCTTAATTTGTTGGAATGTGAGAATCGTATCATCCTAAATAACATCACCCACTACTCTAGTACCTTCATCACTTCATCGTCTTCCAGCCCAGCTCTAAGGCCTGGTGGGAAATCGGGATGGGTTATTAGTGAGAAAACATTCCTATAACCTTCATGTTTTCTAATTTGTCGCCATATGTCTAGGCGATTTACTTTTATTTGTTCAGTGGACAATCGAAAAAAAATTATTGCTTAAAAGGGCTAATAATAATGACCTTAAAATGGCTTAAAAAATTAAAAGCTGCTTTCATTCTAGCCGAAATGAAACCAATAAGACTTTTTTGCAGAAGAAAAAATATTCTAGTAAATACTGTGAAAAATTCCTTGCTCTGTTAAACATCATTTAGGAAATATTTGAAAAAGAAAAAGAAAAAGAAATCACAGGGGGCTAATAACTGTAGTACACATAATAATTATATATATGTGTGTCATAGATGTATGAGTTTTTCAATGATGCTGATGTTCTGTATGGTGTCCACAGCTGGAGGAGAAGCTCAAGGAGAAGGTGGACAAGTCTCTAATGGAGAGAATCAACCTTTCTGGGGAGATGGACACATTTAGCACGTAAATAACCAGTCACACTGACTTGACCTTCAACGCTGAACAACTAATGTGTTTGTTTAGTAAGGAGATAAATAACTTCCCCATGAATCTCTCTGTTTGGCAGGGTTATTTCAAACAGTATCCAGCTCTTGGTTCAGGATCTGGATGCTGCATGTGATCCAGCCCTCACTGCTATGAGCAAGGTACCTTACTGTTATCGGTTATGAGATGATATTTATTTTTTCCTTCATTTGTCATATTAGTTGATTTCTCATATTTTTCCCATTGACGGTAATTATGATTGCTTTTATAGCTTTAATGCTTTGTGTAATTCTACATGTAGTTTTTAACATCTCAGAGTGTTTTTTTATATTAAATATTACATATTTAAATATTTCATCACAAAGTATTATCTAAAACTCTGTACAGTTTTAATATCAGCCATTTGTTGGTCATCAGTCATTTATGCTATCAGCTAGCATTTAAATACAGTGCTCAGCATATAGGAGTACACCCCATTTTAAAAATGCATATATATTTTCCATTTCTCAGTGAATATGAGTAATATATAATGGTGCATTTGATCAAAACATATTTATTAAACAGATATGTTTATTAAAATAATATTCGTTACAGAACATCTTGAGAAATGGAAAGATAATACATTTAAATTCATGCAAAGTATTTACATAAAATACATAAAAAAACTACAACATTTCAACAAAATTTTTCATATTTTTTGTTTCTCTTGATTTTTGCTATTTTTGAAAATGTTATTTAATATATCTATAACATATAGATTTGGACTACTAATTTTTTATCCTTAATTGTAAGTTATTTTGTTAGATTAGCTCCAGATTTGGCTTCAGTACTGACTAAATTAATGTAAATGCACAAATATAATATTGTATCTCTACCTATAGAAAATATTAATTTAAATGTGAGATTTGTGGGGGGTGTACTTCTATATGCTGAGCACCATAAATAGGTTATCCCCTACTTTTTTGTTAGGAAGAATTGTTTATTTAGTATGATTTATTTTATACTATTGGCATTAAATAGTTTATGATTTTAATATATGCCCTATATTGGCCATTATTAACCATAACATGAAAATAGTTTAACTTTTAAATCTGATTATGCCGGAACTTAAATATAGGTTCATGTCAGCTGTTTTTGATTGTTAAAGATCACTGTTATTTTTGTATTCATTACAATTTGCAATATTATAATATATTCTGATCTACATATTTTATAGTGTTATGCTGTTATTATTATTAGTATTTGGCTTTCATTTTTTAATTTTGTTTCGTGATTTTTCTCTTTTGAGTAAAAACATTTTTTAATGTTTCTATTTCTTCATTGTTATTCCTGCTACAAATAAAACAAATAAAATCTCATTTGTTGACTTTAGGAAATGTATTAACTAATATAAAGTTGATAAGTTGATATTTAGCCACACCATATTGGTGTTTTAAAACATCTAGTTTTGATGAGGTGGGTTGTTAGCCCAACGCTCAACCTCCAACCTGGAGGACCAGGACATACACTCATATAATACGGACAATTTATCTTACCTAATTAACCTACAGCACATGTCTTTGGACTGTGGGGGAATCAGAGCACACGGAGGAAATCTACAAGAACACAGGGAGAACAAGCAAACTCCACACAGAAATGCCAGCCGGAGCTCTTTGTCAAAATTCTTTTGTTAGTTGCTTGTTTACATTAGTTCTTGGTGCATTAACTAATGATTATTTGATTATAACAATGTAATAGTGTCGGTTATTATGGTCACTCATGTAATTATAACAATTATATTGACCAATGAACCCTTATCACAAAGTTGTATTGTAATAGTAAATTTAATACTTAGTTACCAAGGTAACATTTCTATTATTATTATTTTTGATTCCTGAGTAATTCAGGTTTATTTCGATATTTTAAATTTTAATTAAGAACAATAACAACACCCTTTCAGAGTGCATTTTAGATAATTTATGTAAACCATGAAGTTAAATTTGTGTGTTTGTACAGATGCCGTGGCAGAGCGTGGAACATGTGGGTGACCAAAGCCCATATGTGACCTCTGTAATCATGCACATCAAACAGAACGTGCCCATCATCAGAGACAACCTGGCCTCCACCCGCAAATACTTCACCCAGTTCTGCATTAAATTCACCAAGTCAGTACTGCAGCTGCTCATTCATCATTGCAACAAGACTCTTTCATAACACAGTGGTTACTAAATTCACGCTGACTCTTTTACTTTTATCCCAAGCTCCTTCATTCCAAAGTTCATCAATCACCTCTTCAGGTGTAAGCCAATCAGCATGGTTGGAGCCGAGCAGGTGGGTGGAGTTTCAGATACTTTGTTTAGTTTTTAAGTTCAAAACAAATATGCTTATTTTCTTTCTCCTGAATAGCTACTCCTAGACACTCATTCGCTGAAGACGGTTCTTCTAGACCTCCCTTCTATTGGCTCTCAGGTGGTCCGAAAAGCTCCTGCCAGCTACACCAAAATAGTGGTGAAAGGAATGACTCGGGCTGAGATGATTCTCAAGGTGGGAACCCTGCACGCATTTTTAGACCTTAAAAATTTGAGAAACAAGCCCCCCTGAGTAGAAGCTCAATACAGGAAGGTCTTTAATGATCAGCTGCTCATAAAGCTCTGCATGGTGCAGCGCTCAGTTGGAGTTATTTACTAAGCTGAGCATGTCTGCTTTAATGAGTTCTCTCAGAGAGACAGGAAGTGCTCACATACCTTGGCTTTCCCACAGTTTAATATTCCTCGCTCATAAAGCTCAACTCATATTTACATGTAGATTAAAAACAGACATGGGGTTGTCATCTTTTCCGGTGCCTTCTTAAAATGTGGTCAGTGTGCCAGTCCCCGTTGCTGGCTGCTAGATCTCTGCAACTCCCTCGTGGTCACCCTCTGAAACTAAGCAGGGCTGCACCCGGTCAGTACCTGGATTGGAGACCACATGGGAAAGCTAGGTTGCTGCCGGAAGTGGTGTTAGTGAGGCCCGCAGGAGGCACACAACCTTTGGTCTGTGTGAGTCCTAACGCCCCAGTATAGTGACGGGGACGCTATACTGCTCAGTGAGCGCCGTCTTTTGGATGAGACGTTAATCTGAGGTCCTGACTCTCTGTGGTCATGAAAAATCCCAGGATGTCCTTCGAAAAAGAATAGGGGTTTAACCCCGGCATCCTGGCCAAAATTTGCCCACTGGCCTCTGTCCTTCATGCTCTGTTAACCATCCCCATATCATAATTGCCTTCATCACTCTGTCTCCTCTTTACCAGTCAGCTGGTGTGCAGTGTGCGTTCTGGCGCAAAATGGCTGCCGTCGTGTCATCCAGGTGGATGCTGCTCACTGGTGGTGGATGAGGAGATTCCCCCCAAAAATGTGTAAAGTGCTTTAAGTGTCCAGAAAAACGCTATATTAATGTAAGGAATTATTATTAATTATTATTATAAAATTTTAAAAGAAAAAAAATCCATTTATTATTGGATGAATTTGTGAGAACACAATTTTGACGTGGTTGAAATAAATATCTTGCTTGAGATTTCTCTCATCAACAGAAAAGCTGTTCGGATTGAAAGTGATTGCTTTTTATACATCTCAACACTACTATAATGGGCCTTTTTGTGTTCAAAATTTTGCTGAAATTTCACAAGAGTGACCGCACCTTTACATGGAAATCGATTTAATCAGACTATAATGACATTGAGATAATCAATCTGTGATAATGAAAGCTGTTTACACTTGCTTTACAGAGCCGTAGTTCACCGAGTAGTAAATGCTGCATGTGAAATTACCACATATAATAACATGTTTTACTTCACTCACTTCATAAATTCAGTCAAAAAAGAAATCCTTATATAAATCCTATACTTCATAGTCATGTGATTATTAGTCACGCTAAATAAATAGCTTTGTTTCCATCTACCTATCTTCATGCACATTTTGGATCAATTACATAAAAAGATGCGCATAAAATTTAAAAAATGTGCCTAAAAACAACATAACCATGAAAACACTTTTACCAAATAAATGCCTAAAATATGCGCATTAAAAATGTAATGTTATTTTGTTAAAAGAGATCATGTGATGATAAAAATAGGTGCCATGTACAGCCTTAATGGACAAATCAGCAGTGCCGACCTCATTGTAAAACATCTGAAAGGTTTTTTTGGTTGTTCAATGCCTTAAGCAAAGTCTGTCATTACAGGGGTTTAGTATTACTACCTAAAGAATTGTGTTGAACTTCTGCGCTTCCAAAGAGCGTCTCATGCCTTCAGACGCCACCACGCATTCATTGTGTCGGCATTGTCTTCTGAGGGGCAAGTCATTTAGTATTAAAATGTGCTACGTCTGATAGATCGCACTATTATGGCTTTCCTTTTTTTTCCATTCCCTTAAAACCTGTTATTAACACATTTTAAAATCTGTTTTAATCACTTTTATTATTTGTTTTTATTTTATCATACTTTTATTCCTGTTTAAGTAAAGCACTTCGAATTACCACCATGTATGAAATGTGCTATATAAATAAACTTGCCTAAAAAAGACAAGTTTGTTTTATAATATCCTCTGGTTTATCAGGAAGTGACGATTTTGTTCTCCTTTGACTCACTGGATGGAAATGCTGCATTATTCACAAATCTTTAATGTGATAATTCCAGTTTTGTGCATAGTTTTAATTTGCATCTTTGGATGGAAACATAGCTATTTCCTGGGTTGTTTCTTTGTGGGTGTTCCTGCACAAGAGTGCCCTTTGGCTTTCAAAGATATTTTACTGCTAATCACACAACTGTGCTTCACTGACAAGATGTCCATGACAAATACTCAGCATTTACATAAATTCATCTTTTAAGGGAAACATAGCTTATTAAAACTGTTAACTTCTGTTTATAATGCAGAAAGTATTTCCTTCTGTAAACATGGGTATTTTCTGGGTTGTTTCTTTGTGGGTGTTTGGTGTTCCTGGGCAAGAGTGTCCTTTGGCCATCAGAGATTTTTACTGCTGATCACACAACTGTGCATCACTAATTAGATGTTATATTTCAGTTTCCAGAGTGGCATGATTCCTACCCATTTGTATGCTTTAGTTTTCATATTTGATCCTCGAGTCCTGATGAATTTAGAATGTTAGAATATGTGTACAAAAAAGGCAAAAGTACACAGTTGAAGTTGGAAAATTATTAGCCCTCTTGTGATTTTTTTTTTCTTCTTTTTTCAAATATTTCCTAAATTATGTTTAAGTATTGCCTATATTTTTTTCTTTTGGAGAGTCTTGTTTGCTTTATTTAGGCCAGAATAAAAGCAGTTTTTAATTTTTCAAAGAACATTTTAAGGTCAAAATTATTAGCCCCCTTTAAGCAATATTGTTTTTTTATTGTCTACAGAACAAAAAACTGTTATGCAATGATTTGCCTAATTAACCCGACTTGCCTAACTAAACCTTTAAATTGCACTTTAAGCTGAACACTAGTATCTTAAAAAATATCCAGTAAAATATTATGTACTATCATCATAGTGAAGATAAAAGAAATCTTTTATTAGAAATTAGTTATCAAAACTGTGATGTTTAGAAATGCGTTGGAAAAAATCTTCTTTACGTTAAACATAAATTGGGAAAAAATATACAGGGGGCTAATAATTCAGGAGGACTAATAATTCTGACCTCACCGGTACATGTAGTCAGATGTTGTGGTTGTACGAGTAGAGGATGGCGTGTGCCTCAGTCAATCCTTCTGCCCTGATCTCCACATCCACCCTCTTCTCAATGACCCCTGTCTCCAGCCCTACACATGCTCCACACGCTTTTATTGGGCTCTCCGGGGCTTTCCTGCTCCTGGTCTTTTAACTGCCTGGAATTCAACTTTAATCCATCTAATGTTCATTCTGGGTTTAGCTCTAATTGTACAAGGTCATGCAAAGACTATCTACTAAAACCAAAAACACACGGGCCACACTTTTAAGGTCTTAAGGCAAAAGTATTTACAATTTTTTTTCATGTCTACATAAGGATGTACATTGAGCATACCTGAAATTTAATTAAACAATATATGAGAATATATGAGTCTTGTTGTCGATCTCAGTTGTATATGCAACAAAAAATAACTTTACTTCTAGTTGATCATTTGTAAGTGTCAGAAGGTAGATTTTTGTGATGAATCATGTTGAACTGCATCCCAATTATCACAAATACATGAGCCTACACATCAAAGTTCCTGAAAGCAAAGAAGGTCAAGGTGCTCCAGGATTGGCCAGCCCAGTCACCTGAAATAAACATTATTGAGCATGTCTGGGGTAAGATAAAGGAGGAGGCATTGAAGAGGAATCCAAAAATCTTGAACTCTGGGAGTCCTTCTAGCGCGCTTTCTTTGTCATTTCATATGACTTTATTAATAAGTTATTTGAGTCACTGTTGAGACATTTGAGTCACAAGACTTTTGTCTTATCAAAGTCAGACCTTACTGTTCTAATTAAATAATTAAAAATCAAGACATGATCATATTTTATTTAGGTAAAATAAGCGTAATCTATAGGCCTTTGCCTTTCATATAAGCCACTTCAGATAACAAATAATCAACTAGAAGTTATGTTTCAAAAAACTTGGATAGGCGACAAGACATTTGTCAGGTAGTGTACAGTTAAATGATTAGTTCTCCTGTGAAATTTCAACAAGTAATGTTAAACAGATTTTATTAACCGAGTTAAGCTTTTAAAATGCACTTTATGTTGAACACTAGTCTCTTAAAATTAACTCTAAGCATAGGATGTACTATTGTCAAGGGAAAGACGTGAAGAAATGACAAGTGATTTATTAAAACCTCCTGTGAAATTTTCATTCTAATCATTTTAATGCTAATTTTGACTTCAATTTTACCTGCAAACACCCATCATTATAATTGTTGGATTGAAATTTAGCAAGAGGAAAAAAAACATTGGTTAATGCAAACAAGTCATCTCACTGAATCACTTTTGATGACCACTGCACCATTTGAATGTCTGCACATGAAACTAAAAGAAACCCAGCCTTGATCTTAACTTGCATACGGTGGGTCTTTCAAATCTGGTTGGCATTTAACGATTGGCTTTGTTGGGCCCCAGGTGCCTCTCAGGTAATTACTTCCATCTTCATCAGCATATTTTGCTCTGTGGTTCCAGGAAGAGCCGTTCATTCTTCAATATGTTCTTCAGCATCAAGGGCCTCCACTGCTACGCATTTATTCTTGCTCTTCATGACACAACAGCACAATCATCTGCCACCTCAGTCTGGCTTTGTCATTGCTCTTTCTTAATCGCTGTTGAATTACACGAGTGAAGCTCGACACCCGTTCAGCAGTTTATGGCTGAAATAGGAGCTTCATTGCTGGTGGTGGCTTGGCTGTCCACATGACGCTCATTACAGGGTAAACGTGGAGAGTAATCTGTTAAAGATGTCTTCAGTTTTTCTCTCTTTCCTTGGCCGGGGACGAGTTCCTGCCCATCCTCGGGCCTAAACCTCAGAGAGATGTGAAGCCGAAAGAGGAAGAGTGAGCCAAGCGTGCTGCTGCCTGTGAGACGTGGCTGTTTTCCACACTCTTCTCCTTTTTCTTCTTTTTTTTTAAATGCCGTTCTCACCACTAAACCCCCCATTGTGGCTCTTTTTTGGAAATGAACGGAAAGGCAGACTTTCTCTCCCCCACCTCACGTTTTCTCTATTCTTTCCTTCTCATTTACGAGGTAACTACAACAAGCCTCTTCAAGGCTTTTCCTTGGCCTGCCTCCATGACGCTCGCGAAGTAAATCTCTCTGTGGAAAGGAAGGAACGTTCAGAATTCAAGACGTTCTGTGTCATGCTTTGTTTTGACCCTTATCTTCATTTCCTGGTTTCAGGTGCTGAGAGTCAAAAGAAAAGAAGGAATAATGGGCATTGTAGAAAGGGAAATGTTGCACGGGAAGATGATTAAGATACTTTCCCCCCTAGTTGTGTCTGTCAGCCATGTGTTCGTCTGCTCTGTTACAAATCTAAATAGTCGCAAGATAGCCAAATTTTTTTTTTCTAATCCTCCCACACGAATTGCAAGAATCAGATTTGCAGTGCATGCCTGTACCCCATTTAACCTTCTTTTACTGCTCTATTGAGACTCCCATTATACCCTACAAAAAATTACCGGTGAGGCTAATTCAACTCCATTCAAGCGTAGAGTAATTACGCTGGTAAAAGAGCGTCTTAAATACACTCTTCAAGTTTTTTTTGCTCTTTGTTTAGCTCTTTATCTTTCAGCTCCGCGTATTATTATGTTGCCTCTTGCTCGTCGAGTGGGTCTCATGTGGAAATGTTTCTTTGGTGAGAGTTTGGGGAGTACGGCTGTAGTTTAGCTCACTTGTTTGTCTTCACCTCTCAGGTGGTCATGGCCCCTCACGAGCCATCTGTGGTGTTTGTGGACAACTACATTAAACTGCTTGCCGACAGCAATCCTGAAACCTTCCAGAAGATTCTAGATATGAAGGTAAGTAAGGCTGCGCTTCATCTGTTTCATGAGATCTGTAGAACAGAGTAGCCACAGAACCACAATTTTAATACAATCTTTACAGATCATTAAAATGTGTTATATATATATATATATATATATATATATATATATATATATATATATATATATATATATATATATATATATATATATATATATATATATGTCATTAAAATATTCTGAATCATTTTAAATGGTTAGTTCACCCCAAACTTAAAAAAAAAAAAAATTATTAATTACACACCCTCGCGGTTTTAATCCACCAAGACCTTAAGTCATTTCCAGAACACAAATTAAGATGTTTTAGATGAAATCTGACAGCTCCCTTTATTTATTTCTCTAGCACTTGTACAATGTAGATTGTGTCAAAGCAGCTTAACATAGAAGATCATAGTAGATTTACAGTGTGTCAATCCAGTTTTCAGAGTTGAAGTTCAGTTTAGTTCAGTTCAGTTCAGTGTGGTTTAATTTTCACTGCTGAATGTCCAAACACCAAAGAGCAAACTCATCGATGCTCAGTTTTATAAACTTTATACCTCTCTTCCCTCCTAACCTGCAGGGTCTGAAACGAAGTGAGCAGAGCACCATGCTGGAGCTCTTCAGACAGCGGCTGCCGACTCCACCGTCAGGACCGGATGGAGGCCCATCACTGTCCTTCAGCGCACCCACTCCAGAACAAGAGTCCTCCCGTATCCGCAAACTAGAGAAGCTTATCAAAAAGAGGATTCAATAACTCAGTTCATTAATGTGAGCACTTTTATTAGTGCACACTAATCTCCATTATCAGCATGGCCTGAAAACATGTCGCCACTCCAGTTTTATCCTGCTGAAAATGGAGTGTAAATACTACTGCTGTGTCCTCTGTATGTATTTATGTTCTTTTACAAATCATGGTTTTGAGGCTTTCATGAATTGCTTTACTATAAGCCTTATGATTCAAGTCCTTTCCTGAACCTCAACACATTACTGGCATGAATGAGTCATTTTGCCATCACCCCCCTTTTTTTCTTGCTCCACTTTACAACACTAATACCCACAGTGTCATTTACTTTGCACATTTTTCTGATTTATGCAATGGGCAATGTGGCCTAGAAAAGTAACCTGCTGCTATTCTGGCACAAAATGTTCTGGCTTGGGATTTCCAACATCAAAATGATTTAAAGCCAAAGTTTTTCTAATTGTCCCCTCACTATAACAGTAAACGGCTGTGTGGAGCTTGGGCCTGTTGGGTAGCATATTTCAGACACTCCAAAACAAAGGAGCTTGAGATGTCCTGCTGAAACGACAAACCAGTTGTTTTGGCTTTTAAAATGTTTTCCCAGGTTGGGGCGAAAAGAAAGAAACACTCACACTGTAGATGTTTTGTTCCTGCAGGAGTCGTAAGGAAGAAATATCCACCCCTCATGCTTCCCATGATAGAAATATTTTCTTTGCGAACAATAACTGAAGTTCATGGGAGATTATCGGAACGCAGAAATATTAGTGTTCATGCTGTGGATCTATAATTTTCATTTGCGTCATCTGCTGTTCACTTGTGTAAAGAAGTATTTGTTTGTGTTCATCGTTTTGACATAACTTATTTTATAGTCCTTTTTAATAGGTCATTAAATGAACCGTGGAATGGATTTACTGTCATTTGGATCATTTAATCTATTATCGCACTCTTCTTTAGGATGGTTTCTTCTCTGTATATGGCTTTGGACTTGTTAAAAGAGCTCAACCGCAGTGCATATCAAAGCTAGATTTGTGCAATGAATGTATGATTTATGTGCTGGAGTGGCTACTGTGATGTATGTGAGTTTATTGCAATATTGTTTGCAATGATTTCTACTCTGGTTTATACTGTTGACGGCTTCTAATCAAAACATTCCTGCCTTCTGTGAATATGACGACAGCTTTTTAAGAATAACTGCAGAGATACATTCTGCTCAGTAAAAATCTGTTGACTATGGGCTTTGACCAACTTGTTTTTGTCATTTTATATGGATTGGTGGATGGATGGATGCATGAATGGCTGAAGGCTAAATTGATGGTGGATGAACAGACAATCAAACAGATGGATGGGTGGATGGAGGAATGAATAGATGGATGATATAATGACCAACAAATTAGCAAATGAATAGATAGATAGACAGGGATGGATGGAATGATGGATGAATGGCTGATGGATACATGTATAGAAGAATGGTGAATAAATCAAAGAATGAAGGAAGAAGGTGAATGGATGGATGGATGGATGGATGGATGGATGGATGAAAGAATTGTGAATAAACCAAAGGATGAAGGAAGAACATTAATAAATGGATGGATCGATGGATGGATGGATGGATGGAAGAATGGTGAATAAACAAAAAGCATGAAAGTAGAACGTGTATGAATGAATGGAGATGGATGGATGGATTATAGAAGAATGGTGAATAAACCAAAGGATGAAGGAAGAACATAAATATAAATTGATGAATGGACGGACGGTTAGATAGGTGGATGGATAGAACAATGGTGAATAAACAAAAAAATGAAGGAACAACATGGATGGATGGATGGATAGATGGATTGATGAAAGAATAGTGAATAAACCAAAAGATGAAGGAAGAACATTAATAAATGGATGGATGGAAGAATGGTGAATGAATCAAAGGATGATGGAAGAATATGAATGCATGGATGGATGGCTGGATGGATGGATAGAAGAATGCTGAATAAACAAAAAGGATGAAGATAGAACGTAAAAACTAATAGAGATGGACGGAGGGATGATAGAAGAATGGTGAATAAAGCAAAAAATGAAGAACATGAATAAACATATATACGGTGGCTGTAAGAGTTAACGGAATTGAGGTTTTATTTTTTTTCTCGTCATCGATGTGTTCTATTTACCGTGTTTCAGGCTTTAGGTGCAGTTGGCGTGTGTCTAGAGGGAGGGTCTCCTGGTTCTCTTTAATTGTCACTCCAATCAGCAGTCGGAATCAGATTTAAAGGCGTCTCCTTCTCGCGGGCGCTTGTAAAACAATGAGCGTCTTTGAGTGCGGACTGCTTTGAATGCAGGCAGGCTGACAAGAGGATAAACTCGCGTCCCCTTCCTTCCCTGGCGATGAGAGGATGATGACCCCCTGACTGAAAGCGTCGGGGAACTTTCCATTCTGCTCACACTTCTTACCAAGCCATTTGAACTTGGCAACAACAAACACATTCGCAGCTTCTTCTGATCTGCGATTCAAAGTCTCGGAGTAACGGGAGCGCTGAGCCAGAGCCACGAGACGGATTACCGACGATCGTTCACGGCATCTCACAGCTGGTTTACTTTACACAAGCCGCTCGGATCAATGGTTAGACCGGGTTTCCAGCGAGATTGAAAGGGGAGAGACTATTCTACACGTAATTCAATTTGACTGCATTAAGAGAGCTTGTAGAGCCTGCTTGAGCAAGTGTTGAGCAACTTTAAAAGCAATGGTGGGAAGACTGAACTTGCGGAATGTGTCTGACGACGATCCGCTGGATATGAACTTTAAAGCTGACCGGCCGCTGGACAGTCCGGACTCCGGTCTGCCCCCTAGTCCGAGTCCAAGCGTCTGGTTACTGCAGGGCGCAGGGGCTGGAACCCTGGTTACCGAGGACGAGAGCAGAGGGACAGCGACGGTACGAGTGCTTTATTCAGCAGACATGCAACTTCATACTATGTAGCCTATACAAAAACTATAGTTATAAACATAAACAACCCTAGTAACATTTAAAAATATTAAATGTCATTGTATTTATACGCTTATTTGTTCAGAATTTTATTTCAATTGTGATGCTGAGTGAAATAGATGCTAATATTTAGGCTATTTATTGGATATTTAAGTAATAAATACCGATTTAAAAATGATAAGGGCAAACCTTGTATATTTTAATGCTAATATATATATATATATATATATATATATATATATATATATATATATATATATATATATATATATATATATATATATATATATATATATATATATATAGAAAGCAATAATATAATATTTAATAAATAGAGAAAATTAGCCTTATATTCAGTTTATATTAGCTGTTTTTAAATAAGTTTGATTATCAGATACTCACTTTTATTAAACCTAGGCTACTTTTGTAATTGTATATATTTTAAATTGATTTTGTGCATGCATTAATTTTAGTTATTTTTATAATATTTTATTATTATTTATTTTATTTTTATATAATCATTTTATATGACTATTTAGGTTAAATAATTTGGGATTTTCTATACTTTTAGTTCAGTTTCATGCACTGATTATATACATGTTTAAATAGTGCATAAAACTTAATTAAACCAAAACAATAATAACAACAAACAAAGTAATAATTCAAAATAATAACAAAGTCCTAATTCATGTGTGTGTGAATGTTTATTTATAATTTTTTGATCATTGTATATATATATATTTTATTTTTTGTTTATGAATTTTTTATTTGTTTATTTATATTTTTTGTTTATTTATTTATTTTTGTTTATTATTTGTTTATTTATCTGCTTAATTTTTGTTTGTTTATTTGTTTGTTTGTTTTTTTATTTATTTATTTTTTGTTTTTGTTTATTGTTTTGTGGTGTTTGTTTGCATTATTTATTTTATTTATTTTTAATTAATATAGTTTGTTTACTGAATATGTTTGTTCATTAAAATCTATTGTAAATATAAACTCATCACTCTAGTCACATATTTTGCTTGACTCAAGTCAATATTAAACCAAAACCACATGCTAATTTATTCATTACAGGTTCCTAATAATAGGCACTTGCATGCATTGTCCTATGGAGAAGGAATTGAACTTGACTCTCTACCACTAAAAGAAATAAGGTGAGTTTATTTATTTATTTTTTACTTTGTAACTGCATCGGACGATTTTTGGGATTTGGCCAATTTGCTCCAGGCAGGTGCAGTTCAGATGCAGCATTAACTTGTTACATGTGTTGTTACAGATACACGTCGTCTGTGCGTTATGATTCAGATCGGCACTTCATTCAGGACGTGACCCTGCAGCCCAGGGGTTTGGGTCTGGAGATGTGCAGTCAGACAGTGCTGGCTCTTCCTCAGAGCACGTGGAGACATTATAAGACCCAGCTGGAGTTTGGGCCCCGTCAGCGGGTGCAGCGCTATCAGAGCACCACCATAGTCTATCCCAAACACACCCGGACCTTCTACACCACCCAGCTCAATTATGACGGGCACAAGCTGACCAAGCGCTTCTTCTCTGCGGTAGAGCTGCAGGCTTCTGATTGCAGGGCTGCTTTTTGAAACACACACACACAGGGGCATCTGTGCCTGACATTACACCCATATGTACCAATTATAAACCACCGCCTGCATTCACTGAGTCCCAAGAGGGAAAAAAGGGAAACTCTGACTGAAATTGTTGCCAGTTGGAAAGGGCTTGACAGACGGGTTAGTTTTAGTGAGTTTGTTTTAGACTGGAGGAGAGTAAGCAACGGTGTCTGCTTAAAGGGATGGTTCACACACAAAATTGTAAGTCCTCATTATTTATTCATGTTTTAAACCAGAGTTTCTTTCTAAAGTTGATCATAAAGACAGATATTTAGAAGTATGTTGGAAAGCAGCAGCCATTGACATTCATCGTGCTTTTAGCTTCTTTTAATGTTAGTGTGGCTACTATACTGTTAATCTTAGTGCAAAATATTGTGTTTTGTGTTCAACAGAATAAAGACATTCATAAAGGTTTAGAACCAACTGAGTGTGAGTAAATGATCATTTTTGGGTGAACTATCCCTTTAAGAGCAGTATTTAGAGACTTGAATGGTTTTCTCCATCAGCTCTCGGTGATGGTGTGCAACAATGGTTTTTAATTGTATGTAGAAATGTGGTTGATTTAGTGAGATTCAGGTTTCAGAGATCTGATAGTGAACGGTCATGGTTTTAAAGGCTTAGATTTGATGGTTCTCTAGAAAGCGTAGTTGGCGATAGAGAAATACTGGATGTACAAACTGATTTGCCCTGCCATAAAATAGGTGGCTTTTAGGATTAAGTTACAAAGTTGAAGCTTCTATACATATCATGTTCACATGTATTTAACGGGTTCAGATCTCACTGAGGGAAAAGTTCATTAGGTCTTTGAGAATGTTTTTTTTTTTTTTTTTTTTTTTTTTTTTAAGAACCAGAGTATTTTAGGGTGTTTTTGCACAAGGGGTATGTCATATATTTAGGCCGAAGCTTTAACTTCATCAGAAACTAACCTGTTCTGCATATTTTACTACTGTAATCACACTTGTGCCGTTATCCATCTTCTTCTTGACTCCACAGCTCTCTTTTGTCTTAAGTCAATTTCAGTATTGTCACTTATGAAGGAAGACATTAGAAGTGGGATCACCATAGAAATGAATTGATGCTGCAGACTGAAGCATCTGTGGACCAGTTTTTGAAGTAAATTATAATGTAAATAACAGCTCTTCAGTTTAAAAATGTTTTATCTATTTATTTTATAATCTTTTTTATTTCTTTTTAATTCTGTGCACAGTTATTGACTGAGTGAGTGACTCAAATGTGCTGGTTTTAAAGCCTGTTTTAATTCTTTTAACTGATTCTTTTATCGTGTATGATGAGGTGGTTATTGACTTAAAATGAAATAATAAATTCATTTTTTTAAAAAGTTACATATGTGCATTTTTCTTAGTGATGGGTGGATTACTTGCAAACTTGTAGTCACTGATTACAAATGACTTTTTAGTCAGTTTTATTTCAGTCTAAATGAGCTGACTGGATATATTTGTAATAATGGAGCTGAAGTTGGTGGGGCAAAGAGTATCCGAATCAAATACATTTATAGCAGTTAGTAATCTAGATAATTGATTTATAAGTAACATTTTTATCATTTGGATTACTTTAAGATTACTTCTAGTCTAACTCATTTGTTTTAAGTCAAAGGTTGAAAGTCCCTGCATAATTTGTTATTTATTTTATTTT